GTAAAGTTGTATTTTTGATGAATGTTTTATTAAAAGGTTTGCTGGATGAGACATGTGTTGTCTGATATGTAACTTGTTATATGTCTTGGTTCGAGCTGAGGACTTCTGTGTTGATCTGTTGAATTTGAACGTCAGCTTCGCGTCGACGCAGCTCCAGCCCCTCCTGTTGTCTGAACCAGATCCAGTCTGAACCGGGTCCTTCCGTCAGAGGAAGCCCAGCCCTGAACACAGAGCTGTTCTTCAACAGGGTTTTTCTTCTTCTTCTTCCTCGGTGATTTTCAGCTTTAAACTCGTTCTTGTAAACAAACAAAGGACAAAAACAGCGGGTATTTCTGTTTTAGTTGGATTTAACTGAAGCGGGTTTGTTTTTATTGAAGTGAAACTTTTTTACATATATTTTATAGGATAAATCTGGTGAAAAGAGGAAATGTCAGCTTTAAGTGTGTTTCTTCTGGTGGTCAGCCTCCTGATGGTCGTGTCTGCAGGTGAGTTTAACCCTGGTACCATGGATCAGAGTCCGGTCTGTTTGGACCCCAGTCCTTCTGTGGGTCCGTTCAGTCACTGTGGGGGGCTTCTTCCCACGGACAGTCCTAACAATTCAGTGTGAGCCTGTTGTCACCAAAACTATTACTGTTTTACTTAGTGGACATGTACGACAGAGTGTTAGGGCCACACATATTTTATTTAATTACAAGATTAAAGTCATAATGTTACGAGAAAAACGTCATAATATTATAGTCTTAACATAAAAAACCTGCAGTTACTGCATTAAAATGAGGAATGTTGAGCAACTTGTCAAGTTGTTCTTTAGTATTGTTGTAAATAAATAGTTAATCTTTTAGCACGTTAGTATCAAATTATCAGTAGCAGGACATGGAAATTGTGAGCCCACGAGGGGACATTTTGCGTTACCTCACAAAAGTAGTTTATCACTGTTGTGTCTGCTGGTTTATTAACAAACTCACATGTTCACCATTAGTGAGTTAGAGCTACTGCTTTAATTCAGCTTCAGAATGAATATATCACACAGGACTTGTGCTGACACATCCTGTTTTGTTAACCAGATATTTCAAAATAAAAGTCTGATTTAATTCAGTTCATGTACAAAACAAACTTTTGTGTGGGGATGCAAAACAATTTTGCGAGGTAACACAAAATTATTGCAAGGTAATGCAAAGGTACTGCGAGGTAAGGGAAACTGCCAAGTAGGGGTCTCTGCAGACGAGTGGGCGTGTCACAAGGAAAGGCGATTCTAAAGCGACACACCTGGTTTGACGACTTTGTTAAAGGGACACACCTGACTGGACAAGAACAAAAGGGGCGTTACTGTGGTACCACTTTTTCTGTAGAACCCAACTTGGGTTACATTTTCCACATCTTCTAACAGAAGAACAGTCAGGTGGGGAGGAAGACAGCTGTAATCTGTCTTCAGTCCATCTCAGACCTCCAGTGGAAACTCTGACCCAGTTCAGAGTCCTCTGGATCAGTTCAGAGTCCTCTGGATCAGTTCAGAGTCCTCTGGATCAGTTCAGAGTCGTCTGGATCAGTCTGAACTTTTCTTCAGAGTCAGACTGATTCTCAGACTGAAGACTTCTGATAACTGACACTGACACTTCAGTCTGACAGTCGGAGTTCATCTAAGACATTTTCAGCTCTTCAGTCTAAAAATCCACTCTGAGAAGTTTGATAAATACAGGTCCTGGTCTCCTTTCTCTGGTCTCTTTAAGCTCCCAGAACTAAACTGTTCCACTCTGACCTCTGACCTATGACCTCTGACCTGTGACCTCTGACCTCTGACCTCTCTGCTCTCTGTTTCCTCTCCTGTAGATGAGATCATCTCAGCTGAAACTGGACAGAACATCACTCTACCATGTAGAGCTCCTAACAAGAAACCTGTTGTAGTTGTAGAGTGGGACAGAACTGATCTGGGATCAGATCATGTTCTTAAGTTCAGAGATGATGATATTTATCCAGATGTTCAACATCCATCTTTTAAGAACAGAGTGGATCTTCAGGACAGACAGATGAAGGATGGAGACGTGTCTTTGGTTCTGAAGAACGTGACGACAACAGATAATGGAACATACGTGTGTAGATTGGTCTACAGTCAAACAAAACGCAGCAGGAGAAACCATCAAGAACATGATTATATCACCAAATACTACCTGCAGGTTGTTACTCCAGGTGAGCAGTGAGTTTGAGCTGAAAGATATTTTTGATGTTGTTGTTGAGACTGTAGAAAGCAGCTGGTCTGAGTCTCACATTCACTTTCATGTGTCCACTCTCTGGTCTCTGTGTTGACCTCTGACCTCTGACCTCTGACCTCTCTGCTCTGTGTTTCCTCTCCTGTAGATCACAACATCACAGCTGAACCTGGAGACACCATCACTCTGTCATGTAGAGCTCCTGACAGCAGACCTGTTGTAGTTGTACAGTGGGACAGAACTGATCTGGAGCCACAGAATGTTCTTCTGTTCAGAGATGATCAGATTAATCCAGATGGTCAACATCCATCTTTTAAGAACAGAACAGATCTTCAGGACAGAGAGATGAAGGATGGAGACGTGTCTTTGGTTCTGAGGAAAGTGACGACAGCAGATTCTGGAACATATGTGTGTGGAGTCACCTTCAGTCAAACAAAGCGCAGGAAGAGATCTGTTCCTAAATATGATCCCCTCAGCACCATCCACCTGCAGGTGTCTCCTCCAGGTGAGCTGTGTGTGTGTGTGTGTGTGTGTGTGTGTGTGTGTGT